TCTTGGGCGAGCGGGCCTTTGGCACGCTGCCGTCGCTACGTCGCCTGTCGCTGCGCCACAACAACCTGTCGTTCATCACACCCGGCGCCTTCAAGGGCCTGCCGCGGTTGACCGAGCTGCGCCTGGCACACAATGGCGACCTCCGCTACCTGCACGCCCGCACCTTCGCTGCGCTTGGCCGCCTGCGCCGCCTCGACCTGGCCGCCTGCCGCCTCTTCAGCGTACCCGAGCGCCTCCTGGCTGAGCTGCCCGCCCTGAGGGAGCTCGCCGCCTTCGACAACCTGTTCCGCCGCGTTCCTGGCGCATTGCGCGGCCTGGCCAACCTGACGCACGCACACCTGGAGCGTGGCCGTATTGAGGCTGTGGCCTCCAGTTCGCTGCAGGGCCTGCAGCGCCTGCGCTCCCTCAGCTTGCAGGCCAACCACGTCCGCACGGTGCACGCCAGCGCCTTCCGCGACTGCGGCGCCCTGGAGCACTTGCTGCTCAACGACAACCTGCTGGCAGTGCTGCCCGCCGACGCCTTCCGCGGTCTACACCACTTGCGCACGCTCAACTTGGGCGGCAACGCTCTGGAGCGCGTGGCGCGCGCCTGGTTCGCGGACTTGGGGGAGCTCGAACTGCTCTACCTAGACCGCAACAGCATCGCCTTTGTGGAGGAGGGCGCTTTCCAGAACCTCTCAGGCCTTCTGGCTCTGCACCTCAACAGCAACCGCCTCACTGCACTCTCCTGGGCCGCCTTCCAGCCTGGGTTTTTTCTGGGCCGCCTCTTCCTTTTTCGTAACCTGTGGCGCTGCGACTGCAGTCTGGAGTGGCTGCGGGACTGGATGGAGAGCTCTGGGCACATGGCTGACTTGCCATGCGCCGCCCCGGGCTCCGTGGTGGGCCTAGATCTCAGCGAGGTGGCCTTTGGGCGCACCCTCGATGGCCACTGTGTGGACCCGGAAGAGCTGAACCTCACTGCGTCCAGTCCAGGCCCATCCACAGAGCTAGTGGTCACCACCATAAGCAAATTCAGCACTCTCCTCTACAAGCTGCTGGCCCCAAGGACCTCAGTGGAGGAGGTGGCCAATACCACAGAGGTGCTGGCCAACACCTCATTGTCCAGCAGCCTTCCCTCCCATGGGGTGGGATGCTTGGGATGCAAGACCACGATTCTCCTCAGCTCTTGTTTCCTGCTCAGTGTGGCCCAGCACATGGTGTTTGGCCTGCATATGGACCGACCCTGACACACTAAAGTGGCTCAAACTGCCTTGGCCAGCAGGAGAAAGTTGGGTTCTGGGCTTGGGGTGGGGAGGATGTTGCGAGAGAAAGGACAGGATGAGGGCAGGTCATGAGGATATCAGTAGAGAGTAGAATAGTTTGCCTCCAGAGCTGGCCCTCCAAAGAGAAACCTGGAAGATCCTGCGTGGGGGAGGAAGAAAGATGTGGATTTTTGCCCATGTCATACGGACATCAATTGGAAGAGAAGCAAGAATGAACATGGAAGGCTAGGAATTGAAAATTCCTAGGGTTACACGACCCCTTCCTGCCTCATCTACAGGCAGTGGTTCCTACAATGCTTGAATTAGAGTCATTGGCTAAGTACTAGGAACTGTGCCTTTTCTCCTGGCCAGGTAACCCTTTAAGCCCACAATCCTCCTCCCTCTTCCCCAGGGGCCTGGGGACATTGGAGTCCAGGAAGGTGGACAAGACATGAGAGAAGGGGGATAGGAGTAGGATTTAGAGCAAGCGGCTAGTTCCTGGGGTCTGAGATATGTTAAAAAAAAATACTGCTGTGGAGTCGATTTGGCTCATAGCAACCCCTCCTTGGGTCTCCAAGGCAGTATCTCTACAGAAGTAGATTGCCCAGTCTTCCTTCCGAGGAGTGGCTGTTGGTTTGAACTGCCAGCCTTCTGGTTAGCAATCAAATGCCTTAGGTATGTGTTAGGAGACATTAAAACAAAGATCCATCTTATTTACTCCACAGTTATTCCCAGGGGTGGCCTTGACCACAAAGGAACTTCAGGGCAGGTTAGGAAAAAAGAAGGGGTCTGTGGACAAATAAGTGTGTAAACCCTGTTTTTGTTTTTTTGTGTTTTTTTTTTAAGCATGTTTCTCTACTATAGGACTCTTTGGAGATTTTCATATGCTAACAGTATTGTGTATCTCCAAGGAGAGAAGTGGAGT